TGTAGTTTTAATCCTTCCTTAGGCATGAAAACCAGCTGGCTGACTTTGGGCCAGTCCCTTTCTCCTAGCCTAATTCATTTCACAGAGTTGTTGTTGTGGGTAAAATACAAGGGACGAACATTATGTATGCCACCTTCAGTGGTCCAAATAAAGGCAGAATATGAATCAAATAAATATCTAAATAAATAAATGTTCAAGGCAGCTTTCCTGATTTACTTAATTATAATTCCCATATGGGGAAGGTGTAATCCAACACAACTGGAGGGAAACTATATGATTGTAGAAGACCAACAATCAAAGCAATCTTTTTGTACCACTATCTCAAAGCTAGCAATGATTATTCCTAATTTGTTTACTCCAGATCTGTGCTGGAACCAATGGCTGAAAGGGTGGGGTTGGGGGGCTTTATGTGAATAAAGAGAAATTCCAATTTAGAGTTTGTTCAGAGGAGGAAATGTCTGAAATCAAACCCTTAGGTGTATATCTGCCATTTCCCAAGGGAAGGTAGATAGTCTGGTAAGATTCTTGTAATACAGGTGATCAATAATAGAGTATCTATTTGGGCCTATCCTTGAGTGATTCTAGTTGTTTGCACTTGACAAGATGCACAAGACTTACAATCTCAAACAAAGTGCAGAGATATCCAGGGGGAGTCGAGCAAATGCTAAAAGTGTGTTGTTGTATTTCAAATCCTGACCCTTTTGTAGAAGCATTGTGATCTCTTTTCCTTATTACCTTCTGGGAGAGGCAGAACATCTAGATTCAGTCACACTTTTGTTCCATATAGTATCAACCTTGTGAACTCTCAGGTTTACTCTTTCCACTATGTATTCAAAATGGACAGTGATATATATGCTGTATGAGAGCAGGCAACAGAATTTCATTTTTAATGTGTGACAGTGTGGTCACAATAAAAAAATGATAATAAAGGTTATCTCATCTCATCTCACTTTATCTCATCTTATCTTCTTATCCTGTCCTGTCCCATCTTGTCCTGTCCCACCCCACCCCATCCCATCATCTCATCTTATCATCCTCTCTTATCTTGTACTGCACAAAGATAGAATGGCGAGGCTTTCATCATTTGGATGAAAAGATCAGATCCTGCAGGTGCCTTTGGAACGATATACCATCATTCTGTGTTCCTCTTGCTGAGTCAGAATGACAAGGCTGAACTCACTCTTCTTGTCTGCCTATCATGTTCATCTGTGAAAAATGAACTTGTCACTACAAGTTCACCCTGGCATGTGGCAGGTCCCCTCAAGGGTGTGTAGAGAAAACAGATGGGACCTCAGTTCCAACAACCCCCAGTTTTTTCTCTCCAGCTGAACCCCTTTCCTTGCATTGTAGCAAGGGTTCAGGTTCATGTTATTCTCAACAATGGCATTGGTTCTAAACGTTGAGGTGAAATCCTTGAAGTATGAACTCATTCCAAATGAAAGACAACACTTAGAATCTAGGCTGTAGACAAGAAAAGGACAGAGCAGAAACAGAGAAAAGGAAAAGGGGGAAGGGGAAAAATGACTTACCTTGAGTCAAGAGGAGTGCTATATAAAAAGAAATTTAAAAAAAAGAAAAGGAAGGAAGAGACAAAGAGTTAATTTTTTCTGCATAACAGGTTTATAAACATTTTGCATATAACCGTGTTAAATAATAATGAGCTTGCTTGAAGTAAACAATGGCTTTTTGGTAGCCTCATGGTAGAAGCAGGTGTGAAAGCATGCGTGGGAGCCACAAAATGGAGATGAAGCTGTATCAAACAGGTGCAATTATAAGGGTTTCAGAGGTTCCCCTTTTCCCTCATGAACAAAGGTGCAGGCATGTAGGGTGGGAGGGACAGGACTTGGAGGTGAGGACTGTGGAAGCAATCAATATACAAATTTGCAACACAAGACCAGAATCTGGGGCACAGCTAGTGGCTTTTTTGGGTGGGGCGGGGAGGTTGCCTTCGAGTCAGTGTTGATGTCTGCCTGGATTAGTCTCTGCGGTTTTCTTGGCAGGATTTTGGGAAGTGGTTTGCCCTTGACTTCTTCCTAGGACTGAAAGGAGCTCCTGTCAAGGTCGTGCACCTAGATTTGTATCTAAGATGGGACTAGAACCTATGGCCTGGTTCCTTGGTCCTTAGCTACTGGCACTTAGCTGCTGGCCTAGGGATTTCTACTATTTCTACTACTGTATTTAAAACTCTTTAAATTGGCTACACCTAAGGAAGTAACTTTGGTTTCAGTAAAAATTAATATGGAAATCAGACAGATGCAATGATTCATACTTGGAAATTAAATTGTATCACCCTAGCTGAATTACTGTCACTCAATGAGGAATGAAATTTCACTTTACCTATCTTATATAACCTATTTTACCACCACTTCATGGGGTATACAACTAGCTTCCAGTAACTCCTAGATAGCAATGAAGGGATCAAAAAAAAATCTCTAATTGATTGCTGCCATCTTGTGTTCATCCAGATTTTTTCAGTCAAGTTTTGGCAAATGTACTCATTTAGCAATAATGTGAAGTGGAATCCTTGGTGCTCTCTGAGCTTGTTTGTTTTCTTGCAGATGTTTCATTATTCAGTAGTAACATCTTCAGTGCTAGAAGAGTGAGAGGTTTGCTTTTTATTTATATACAATAACTTGTCCTGTCTATGTTGGTGGGGATGTAGATTTCTCCTTGGTAGTTCCTTGTTTAGGATGTTGTTTCCTGCTTGATTGTCTGGTGTTGCTTCTGGTATCAATCCCTACTTACCTGGGTGTTGATTCATGGCAAGGAGGTGTTCTTATCTTTTTGTTTCTAGTTTTTTAATTGTATTTTTTAAAAGTTGTCTATATATGGTTTATCACTATGATTCTGTTCGAGACAGAATTACTGTCCATCATCAAATCTGCAATGAAGGTGACTGTCGGAGGAGCGAGACCGCGTGGTAGACCTAAGCAACGTTGGATGGACACGATCAAGGCCGATCTAGAGATCGCGAAGGCAGACCCGACGTACGTGGTAGACAGAGAGGTGTGGAAGCAGTACTCAAGGACATTAGCGGACCTCGCCAGAGCGCGAGACAAACGCTGAAGAAAAAGAAGAAAAGAAGACTATGATTCTGTTCATGTTGATCTGTCTGAATACCAAGCTTTTGGGAATTCCCTAATTTAGCTCGGTCTAGTATGCGCAGTTTCCCACTTGAAACTATAGTTAAGTCTGTCCAAATTAAGGCATTTTATTGTGTCTTCTAATTGCTAGTTGATGTTCATGGATGTGTTCTGTTAGTCTTCTGCTTGTCTGTCCTAGAGAGTGGCTGTTATAGTCCTCACACTGTGTATTGTAGATGAACCCTGTTTTTTCTTCTTGGGCTAGTGGGTCTTTTGGTTTACTTAAGATATTTTGGAGAACTTTAGTTTATATACTACAGTGATGGCATGTGGTTGCAATAGTCTGTTGGTTCCTTCTGAAGTATGGGGAGTGCTATCCTTTTCATAGCTTACGATGGTTGCGCTGTAATAGGTTGAGTGATCAGGAAATTTTTTTATAAACTTACGTGGATATTCATTTTGTTAGAAGATGTTGTATAGGTGGTGTTTCCTTTTTTGATATTCTGGATAATTGCAGTGCATTTGTGCTCATCTGAATAATAGCAATAGCACTTAGGCTTATATAACGCTTTACAGTACTTTACAGTCCTCTCTAAGTGTTTACAGAGTCAGCATATTGCCCCCAACAATTTGAACCCAGAAAGATGGAAGGCTGAGTCAACCTTGAGATCTGAACTGCCAAATTGCAGGCAGCTGGCAGTCAGCAGAAGTAGCCTGCAGTACTGCATTCTAACCACTGCGCCACCAGGGCTCATAATGCTCTTACACAGCTTCTTTTGTTGGTATTTGGAAGTGGAACACTTGGTTAGTATCGGTAGGTTTTTTGATAAAGTTGTGCTTCTAATTTGCTGCCGTTTCCTCTGCTGATGAGGATATCTATGAAGGGGAGCGTGTTGTTGTCTTCTTCTTCCCTTGTGACTTTTATTCCTTTGAAGACATTCTTTCATATTTCTTCTCTAGTTGTTCCTTTTTTATTGACAAAGGTGTCATCTACAAAACAGATCCATACTTTGGGTTGTATGCATGAGAGTGCAATATTTTCTAGCCACTGCACTACAGTCTCTCCTAGAAATCCTGAGAGTAATGATCCCATGGGTGTCCCTCAGATTTGTTGAATGCATGTAGTAAGATAAAGCTGGATGGGACCCATGATGTATGATTCTGAGTATTTTGAACTTAGTGTATTTAGTTAGGTTGGCTATATTGTATAGTACAGTTACCATGGATTCTTTTGCTAGTTCTTGGTTTATGGATGTAAAGTGTTGTGACATTGAAGGAAACCATAATTTCATCTATTATTAGTTTTTTTTTTAAATTCTCTGGAGGCACTGTGGTAGGCAGTTGATATAATATTTTCTCCCCACTGTGAGATGTCTAAACTTTTTTTCTAAGTTCTTTACCTATATATTGGGATCCCTGGTTGGTCCAGCAGGGATCAAAGCCAGGACCCACAGCAGACAAAAAATCAAGCAGTAAACAACAGCCTAATCAAGGAACTAGCCAAGCTGAAAAGAACACTCCCACCAACAATGGCAGGACAAACTTTCTGTATATAATCAGAAAGTAAATCCCATAGCACTGAAGATGTTACCTAGCTGGGTAATGAAATGTTTTCAAGGAAACAACCAAGGTCGGAGAGCACCAAGAACTCCACAGTTCAACCCTGGGCTATAAATATTGTCTTCTATTGGTAGAAGTGAAGTTTCACTTATAACAGTTCCCAGACATGAATAAATTTTATAGCAGGATAAGAATAATTGATGCCTTTCCCCATACCTATTGTGAAGACTTTTTAAAAGCTCCACTATGTAAGTTACAGATCATTATACAGCTTTGAAGCAAAAGGGAATTTAAACAAATCTGTGCTTCTCCTGGCCCCTTGAGATCAAGACATACATATTGCTTTTAATTCTAAACTCTGAACTGTCAGTTTATGGTTTTGGCCTATGAAGGCTGATTACAGTAACTGGTTCATTCTAAATTAGCCAAAAAGCTTGATACTACTAACAAGAAACAACTTGAATACGAATCCTAAAAATCACTTCTGCTGTTCTTTTCATTTCTATGTGCTAATTGATAGTATGCTTCTGTCAAGAATATTTTATTTGGAGTATTTTTAATTTTGATTATAAATGATCTTTTAAGTATTTGGATTTCTAATTAAATCTCATTGTACTATCTTCTATTTCATACATCTAAACACGACTCTTAGCATTTTATTTTCTAAGAATTAATTTCTTACATTTGTGCAATTATTTCTAAAGACAACCATCTTCACTTCTAAATTAACTCTGATTTGTACTCCTTTCTATATTTGCCTATGGTTTAGCAAGAAGAATGAAATATTACTTTGATTTTTAGAGAAGAATCTGGAGAAGTATCACCATTTGGAATTTTAAAAAAAATCTCGTCTCAATAAAAATGAACCACCATTGTGAAATAGGAGCTGAACTTTTTCCCTTTAGTTTTACAGATTTGTCCTATAATTTATCATCTAATTTCAAGGACAAGAGAAAACCTAATCTATACCATACCATTTCACTTAATACTATGTCAGTGAAATCCATACAGGCTTCATGACTTAACTGGCCTAGCCAATTGCAACTGAAGAATCTGACTGCTGCTTCGGGCTTAATAGAAGTTTATGAGTTGAGATGGGAAGCTCTAGAGAATAGCATTGCAAGGAACGGTTTTTAAAAATAAGCCTGAATCTCATCGTGGTTGTTGACCTTGAATAAATGACGGCTTCTACTAACCATTCTGCATAGGTTTTCCACAGAAATACCTATTAAAGAAGGGGCCCAGTATTTAAAACCTAACAAGCAGGGGTGGGATTCAAATTTTTAACAACTGGTTCTGTGGGCGTGGCTTAGTTGGTGGGTGTGGCTTGGTGGTCATGTGACTGGGTGGGCGTGGCTTGGTGGTCATGTTATTGGCTGTGCATGGCCAGCTCAATATCACTCACATCGAGGCACGCATCACCTAGCCTAGCCTCTCCTGGCTGTGGGGATGCTGCAACAGTCGTAAGTGTGAAAAATGATCATAAATCACTTTTTTCAGTGCCATTGTAACTTTGAATGGTCACTCCACACAAGCAAAGTACCAGCAAAGGAGGGAAAAAACCCCAGAGATGTTCCTGAGACAGGAAGTCTAGGCCTGCCAAGAATGTAATAAGGGTTAATGGAGAGGCAGTTTCTGTAAGCAACACCAGAATGTTTCCTTCCTGCCTTCCTTACAGGATTAGGCCAGTAATTTCTTCTAACAACCGGTTCTCCGAACAGCTTAGAATGTTAACAACAGGTTCTAGCAAATAGGTGCGAACTGGTAGAATCCCACCCCTGCTAACAAGTATACTGAATAAACAGAATTCGGAATTGGTAATGATACCCTTTTAAATACATTCACTTTTGTAAGGCTATTTAATAGTTGCTTAAGGCAGCAGCAAAAGGCTATTTGAATAGTAACTGTGTTGGACTGTACCTTTAACACAGCAGGAGGAAATTCAGGATGGTACTGCATTTGACGGGGCTATTTTCAAATATGAAATGAAGGCAGGGATGTCACATTTTTGCAGAAAAAAATAGAGGCAGTCCATCTAGTATGTTCCAGATTTTTTTGGACTTCAATTACTATTAGCCTGAACCAGCATAAGCAATGACAAGGAGATTCTTTAGAACATCTGGAAAACATTGGATCTGCTCCTCAGCTGGCAATCTATATCCTTCAAAACAGTTTATTGGGACATTTTTCTGCTTTCTAGCTCTGATATTGAAAAGCTGGGAGGGGGAAACACTCACTGAAGCAAATGACATGAGAAAAGCACCAGGGGTGAGTGTCAATTGTTCTTTGTTACACCTTCCTTTTATTATTATTTTTAAATCCACAGCCTCTGGCATATATGAATAGAATGTACCTATGGAAGGAACTTTCTCTCCAACACTTGCATCTTCTTCGTTTCAAAGCTGATTTTCTCCCCCCTGAGGTTTGGCTTGTGCTCCTTGCAACAAGCGTGGCCTCAAGAATAATAGATTTAAAACATTAAACTCCTGAAGGTCTGAGATCTCTGACTACCATTTGGGCTTCAGCCTATTAAAAGAGTGCTTATCTCTCTTTCCCTTCTAATGTAGTGCATGAATATTTGAAGAATTCTATGAACTAAGATTCAGGAATATAGAAAGGGATTTTAGCTTTTTATTGCGGACAGACATAGCTTACAGAAGCAGGAAAATGGCTTCCTTTGCTATCAGAAATAGCTCAGGCGGGGCAATTCAATTCCAGCTTATAATAGAGCTTATGAGTCCAAGCTTGGTATCTATTAAAAACTGGCACATTCTTCTCGTCACTCATTAGTACATGTCTGTCCCAAAGTCACATCATTAAAGATGTGAGAAGACAAAACTGCACGAGACCCTAACAAGGCATGTAACATTAGCCTAGGGTAAGATGATCCAACATTTCTACAACTCATCAACTTCCTCTTTGGTTGCTTCAATTCCCTTAGGCAGAATGCACACTGTTCACCGTTGGTGTGAGAGGAAGAAGCTTGGCCCTCAGAATCTCTTTAATGATAATGGTGTTTGTGTAATGATGACACACATTTGTAAACTGCCTTGTTATGATGCTTTCTCTGCCATTACCCACTTTCCTGGTATAGTGGACATCTGCTTATGCTAGCTTCTCCTATACGGAAATAGTTTTGACCATGGTACTTCCCAGTGCTAACAGTTTGTTGCTGTTGTACTAATTCATACGGTTGTTATTGTTGCTATTATAATGTTTTTTAAAAAAAAATCTTTTTAATGATGAATAGATGAGGTAAGTAAACCTCTTGGAGCCATTTATAGTTTGGAATGGTGAATAACCCAGTAAATTAAAAACTGGCTCTATTGGGAAGGCACTACCAGTGCTTACATATTTGTTACTGTAATTTTAATGCTTAAAAGTAATATATTATTTATTAAAGTTATTTTAACATCAATAAACTGCTGAAAGCCCACTAGGATTGGGTGGATGATAAACTGCACAAGCAAGCAAACAACCAAATCAAACCACTTCTAACCTCCGGTTCCCTGATTCCAGTGAAACACCATCTCAGTGGAATGCATAATATATAAAACACTTTTCAAATAGCATCAGCGCTTTCTCGTGATTAAAACGGCTTAAAACTCACATTAATGTGAATTGTTGGTAGATGTACAGAGATCACATGAACATTTCCAAGTAGCCATGATGTGGGCTGCTTGTAGTGGAGTGTTGGGATGAAAAAAAAAAGAGAAATTTGGAGTATAAAAGGATTTCAGAAAAAAACGATGAAAGTTTACAAATAAGGAATCATCAGAGGAATCTAATTTGGGTTCTGAAAACCCAGCAAAGAATGGCTGGTAACAAACTTTCCAGCTCAAAAAGTAACTTTGGAACAATTGTTCTGTTTTGCCCCTTGAATGAAGTATAGTCTGGAATAAAACATAAAGTTAATGACAGAAGCAATAGCAGTATGCTGCTATTACGAATACTTAAGAGCTGTCATTTTCTTTGTTTTTCAAGAGTGTTAACTCCATAGTTCTGAAGCATAGTTCTGTTATACCATTTTTCCTTGAAAAAACTAAAATAGAAAAACTAAATAGTCTGAATATTTTGTACAATGCATATTATGAAGCATTCTTTACTGATCTACTTTTAATTTCTAAGCATTGTTATAGGCATCTTTTTAATGAGCTTTATTTGTTTTTGTATTTTGTGAAGAAGAATAGAAAATATATGAAAGTCCACTAGATCTTTGTTAATGCGACCCATTAGAGAGAAGAACTGTTGTGTAAAGATTCTTGAAACATCCAAGGTCAGACACAAAATCTCTGGGATGCATAAGTGGGTTAACAAACAAAGCAAAGGCAGCTGAAGACAGATTTCCCCAGGTTTGTGGTCCTCCAGGCTTGTGGTTCTCAGACTTCTAGAATTTGCAGCCAGCACGGGTCTTCTGGTGAGTGGTTCAACACATTTGGAAGGCAGAAAATTAAGGTAGATTTCCTCAAAGCATGCTTTGACTTCCATCTTGGAAATTCTTTAGTGCTGACATGCCTGTATGTCCGGAATGGAACAACTCACCCCAGCGATCTTGCCACAGCCGATTGTGGGACAATTCAATATGGGATAACTGAAGAGTAGAATGGCAGCTAACTCCAGCTAACTTGGGGATGTCTGACTTGAGCAGGTTCAGACTTAAAGCAAGACAAGGTCTGCTGAAATTCATTTGTTCTTCTCTTGGGTTGAATTGTCCATGTTGAGTTGGCTGTGGGGAGTTGTCCCTCAGTGAGTTGTCCAGGGTGAGTCGGCTGGGATGAGATGGCCAGGGAGACTTGTCTTAGACCCTGTATGTCTTTGCTGAAATACTGAGAAAGTACTTCCTAACATGAGTTCTATGAAGTTGTACTATAAAGTATTTGGTCTATTTGGAGATTCCTTTTTTGGCAGGGAATTAATTGCAAACATTCTTGGCTGTTACTGTTGGCAGCACTTGTTAAATCTGACTCCAGTATGTACATGTCTATATCCATATATTTTTATATAAAAATAATCAGTAGGTAATATTAATTACAAAGCTGTAATTAATGAAGAGAATTTTAAAAAGACAGGAATCATTCTGCAAAGTTGGGGAGGAGCAAGCTGAAGAGGCAACCATGCAGTCTAACATATTCTTCTGAGAAAAGGACTTTCCATCTTCATATAAGAAAATGAGACATGATTACATCAAAAATATGACCAAAAAGGAACACGGGGGAGAAAGGAGAGCGAGTAGAAAGGGAAGGATCCAAACGCATGAAAGTTCAAATAGCCTGTAAGGCACAAGCACTGCATAAAAGGAGGATCGTAAAGCTAAGCTCAAAAATGCAGAGAGATGGGACCGAAACAGGGCGAGAGCGAGAATATAGGAGGGAAAAGAGTAACACTTGGTCTGTGTAAAAATCAAAGAGAAAAAGGCAGAAGAAAAAAAGGTTGTTTTTGAAATCTGCATTTGCTTGGTTTCTTTTTTTTTTTTTTTTTAAAAAAAGGGATCTCACACCTGATATTCCTCGTTCCATCCATTTCGGTTCACCAAGGACAATGAAGAAAGCCTCCTGCCTTTCGTATTCCTCCTCATCTACTATTTTAACCCTTATGGTCTTCCTGTAGGGACAACAAGAAAAAGATGGGTGTACAGTGGGTAGCCTGGTTGGGAACAAATTCAGCAGCAGCAGTCAACACTACTACTACCCCTACCGCCAACACCTTCTCACATGCAGCCTGCTTCTGCCATTGTCTTGGTGGTCTTTCACTTGCTTTCTAGGACATATCAGTTGGAGCTGATCTTTAGATGAATTAGAGAACATTAGAGGAAGGAAGGAAGGGAGGAAGGAGGAAAGGAGGGAAAGGCAAAGAGTGAGGAAGAGGAACCTGGTCTATAGTGATGGTTAGTGGAAGGTGACCTCTGCAGCACATTTAGTCAAATGTCACATGGTAATAACAGTTCATCAACTGGCTGAACTATGGCTAATCCAGAACAGCCTACAGGTAGAGATGGGACAAGCATCTTTAGCATAGTGGATAAAAAGCCAATTTTTCTCTGTCTTGAACAGTGGGTGGAGAGTGCAATAAGACAGAATTAAAATATCCTTTTAACATACAGGCACACACATGCACAAACTCAGGCACAAAACAGCCAGGACTTTCCCATCTGGATCTTTTTCTCTGCAAAGGCAATTTGGTTTTTTTCCCCCCATACCTGATACAGTAATTTTCTTTACTGAGAATTGATAATTCATTTTGGCTGACGGAACTGCTCAGTGCTTATGAAATTCAATGTTATAAGGGTATGGGCAACATATAATACAACCTATGCGAGTATCATGCAATGACACAAAAGACACCCTTATAAAAATGAAGTTGAAATTCTATACCCATTTAGCTAGGAGTAAATCCTATTAAACTCAGCAGCGTTCACTTTTACATCAACATGCTTCAGAATCGCTCAGACGCTTTATTTCTTCTTCTTTTCTTACCTATTTTTTTAGTATATGAACATGAAGAATGACAAAGAATGAATACTAATGGTTTCCCATTTTCCTTAGAAGTTATCTATTTATATTAATTGAGTTTCTGATTGAAACCCTGGACCACTTCTAACAATCTCTGTTGTTATTTTCTCAAGGAATCCTAATTATTTCCTTCAATTTGTAGAAAGTGCTAGATCCTGATATATGCCTGTAGCCTCAAAATGTTGAGAATAGAAATAAAACATTGAATTAGCTTTTTCAGCCAAGCAAGAATCTGTATTAGCCACAACTCTCTCATATAACCTCCAGAATAGTGAGAAATCTTGAATGTATTTTTAGGATTGTGATTCTTAGTTTTCACATTAAGTCACATGTTTAGATTGATTGGAGCCATTTTTTGATCAAATTACAGACAATGAAGAAGCATTTAAGGGAAAGAGATTTTGGCAAAAAACAAAAACCCAAAACTGTATGCATTCTACACATCTAGTCTTCTGCTCACAGGCTGTTCACAGTAGCCTCCGTATCAATTGGCCATACAGACATCAGGCTAATATCAAAATAAATGTGTGATTCTGAAGGAGCATTCTTGGGTGGTTCAATGAAAAAACATTTTTTGTTCCAACACTTTATGCAAAATGTCATAGACTAAATTAGCCTTTGAATTAATCATACAATTTGTAGAGTTGCAAAAAGTAGGCTGAGGACAGGCCATTTAGAGACAAGCAAGCGTGTTTATACACATGAGTATAAAAGGGTTTGCAATATTGATCAGCACATGTGGGAAGACTAATTTCAAATCTCTGTTCAACTATATATATATATATATACACACACCCCGTTATTGGAGGAACTGAGCCAAGTCATTATCTCTCTGCCAACTCTATCGCTAAATAAATAGCTTTTAATTAGAGGAAATATTTAGTCCCCTTCCATGGTACATTGAACCGGCATGGATTTGAAGTTAAAATGCTAAATGATTTTATCAGAAGACAAGAATGATATTTTTAGTATGTTGGCCCATTGATTCATAAAACATCTTGTTTTGTACAAAAAAATGAATAACCATTTTCTTTTGCAAGCCAAGAAACTATTATTAGTATGCAGATCTTGGGACAATGATAGGTATGCTAAAAGCACGCTGAGCTGGAAGGCTCCCAATATGCATATAAGTTTGTATTGTGCTGCAAAGTTGAGCTCTATGGCCTATTTCTATAGTGTTGAAGATGGATTTGAAAACCCCAATGCCCCATTACTTCATTGACATCCTTCAGTCAAATCAGCACACACCCACATACACACGCCCACACACACGCACTGCATTATCAGGTAAACAAAGCACACCATCTTGCTAACTTCCATCAGTACCATGTGACAGGTTGTGCAGATACAGCGGTGTTAAGGATAGAGCAATTGGAAAATTAAAAAAAGAGGCCATTGATAGCGAGAAAAGAAAGGTAGGAAAGAAGAAAAAGAGGAAAGAAGAGTGTTAATGTTAGTTGGGAGAGCCAGTACTACACCTTTCTGTAAACTCATATCCATCATTCGAGGACCCATCAACTCAATGAAGAAAGTCTTGTTTTTTTCATACTCCTCCTCATCAATTACCTTGATGTGAATAGTTTTGCTGTGAATGGAAAAATAATAAATGTCATAATGGGAAGAAAGGGGTGAGCAAGCTGGGCAAAAGAGGGAGAAAAGAGAGAATTTAAATGGTCAAAGCTTACTCACCCATTATGGAAAAAAACCCCAAAGAATTTTAATGTTTATATCCTGTCTGGCTAATCTGGAAGAGCATTTGCATAGACAATGGAAACAGATCATTAAAAAAATATTCCAGCAATAGCATCTCAGATATCCAGTCATATCTATAATTCTATTGACAGTTTTCACATTTAATTAAAAACAGAAATACATGTCTGTTGCTGTAATTTATGCAATGTATAGTGTACGTTTAAGGTGTTCTTAAGTAATTTGATGCAGCTTTAAGCATTTTCGCTTTACTAGAATATTAAAAAGCATATTATCTATCATCTATCTATCATCTAAAAAAGAGCCTTGGTGGCGCAGTGGTTACTGGTTGCTGCAAGCTACTCCCACTGCAATTTGGCAGATCGAATCTCACCAGGCTCAAGGTTGATTCAGCCTTCCATCCTTCCGAGGTGGGTAAAATGAGGACCCAGATTGTTGTGGGCAATATGCTGACTATGTAAACCTCTTTGAGAGGGCTATAAAGCACTATAAAGCGGTATATAAGTCTAAGGGCTATTGCTATTGCTATTGCATCTATCTATCTATCTATCTATCTATCTATCTATCTATCTATCTATCTATCTATCTATCT